GTTTCTCATAGGGCTCAGTTTTTGCCTGTCAAGTCTACGAACGAAGCTGGATTCAATGGGCTGTGCCTTACAATCGAAACAACACTGCCCTCTACCAGTATGACGAGTAGTGCAACGCGGACGGGATAATCTTCTTCGCCGTATAATTTGCCCTGCAATATCTACAGTTGCATTGCCAACTTGGAGGTATTCATTAAGTCTGTGTATGTATCTTTTGATACCGCACCTATGCAGCCGGTACTAACGTACCACTCGAATGTATCTTCCACTGTATATTTTTGACGGCCTCTGTAAACTTGAACATGTATTTGGAATTCCATATACATATACAAGTTCGGATCCTGCGTGCCCAACACACCCAGACATTTGTACCTGAATGTGTCCATATGTAGAAAATTGTAGCGCCGATCAATTGGAGGAAAGCGTAAGATCGCTTGTATCTCCGTAAGTAGTTCATTTAAGGCATCCAGCATCGCTGGCGTGTAGAATCGCCATCTTCGGGAAGTGGATTGCATATTGACGTGACTGTGTATATTGTGGCAGTGGGACATAATGAGTTAATGTCGTGTGTGTCACAGTGTCTGTAGCTCTGTATTCTCAACTTCTCACTGTTCTGTGTATAAATACTTGTGAAATGTGTTCAGGCGATTCAGGCCTGATTGCGATGAGTCACCTAGGGTCTGTCTGTCACAGTGTCACTCGTATGACATTTTAAGAATGAAATTTGGATATATATTGATAACTGAATCTTAATAATATATATATTTCTTATTATTTCTTAATAAGAAATAATATTAAAGAACTACAGCGAAATTAATAAGTTAAGTTGTCATCAATGAATAATTCCTTATTCTTTCTTATTCTTAATGCTAATTATCAATTATGAAGAATAAATAATTTTGGACATAGATTCATAATTAAGAAATAGGATGAAGGACTCTTTCTAAATCTGTTAAGAAAACGTACAATACGTATCTTAATGATGTGATGTATGGCCTGACTGAGCCACTGAGGTGACAGACTTCACCATATGTAAATAGCCTTCTTCTAAATTGTCATTCGTCAGTCACTGGCAGTCACTGACTCACTGGTGTGCGGTGACAGTCGAATTGCCCTTATTTTGGTGGTGTATTTTTATTATTATTTAAAAAAACAAAATATTTGTCTGGGACTCTGGCAGTCGGACTGGGACTGGACAGTCTGGTCGTCCGGACCAGACTCTGGGTCCTGGGACTGGAGAGTGGAGAGTGGAGACTCATCAGCAGAGTGAAGAGTGACTGGAGCCTGGAGACTGGAGACTGGA